ACTGCCAGAACCGGAAATCTTACTCCTATTCAAAAACATCTTTAAAAAATTTTACCTTTTGTGAAGTCTTTTTGTTTTTGTTCTGTTATTTGGACATGTCAATAATCATAAGCTCTGAAGTTTATTGTTCAGTGTTTTATAAATGGAATATCTTTGATGATAGTGTTTTAAACCATTTTATCCTTTTATTTTTTCAAGTGATTATTAAGATTATAATATTTGATAGTAAAAATAATAAGCTTTATCAAGGTGTAATTCAGTTTTATTTTATTTTCAAAAAATCTTATAATGAAAACCTCTGAAAATAATGCCATGCTCTTACCTTATTCATATATGTACATACTTTGATCAGGAAGGTAAAGATAAAAATTTGTCAAGAAATCTAAACCACAATTATATTCTGTATCTACTTACCTTCTTTGCTTTATTTTCCCAGAGAAACATTTGATATGATAGATCATCTATGGAAGACATTATAAAAGATAAATTTTAATAAGGACTGAAAGTTCGTGAGTTATTTTTCCTCTTCTAACCTTAACTTTCATATTTAGGTTTTAGGAGAAGTTTCAGCACAACTTCTGCGTCTTCCCAGAAAGAGATTAACAGAAGAAATGCTTTTGCCAAGTGAGTATTAAGAAGATTTAGAAAAACACCTTTCAAGATGAACATGATGAGATTCTGTGAAGGAAGAAAAATGGAATTTGTATCTTTTACATTGCTTGGTAGAATTTTAGCACTTAGGAGAAAAGGTGTGATGAGTGTGTTGAGAAGAGTTTTCTCCCTCCTTTGCAAGCTCAATTAAAGATGTCACCCGTGACTAAAGATAGTATACTGCATATATTTTTCTCTTCAGAGAGTTTAATACCATTAATAAAAGTTGGAGTTTATGTTTTGTGTTTTCATTGAGTAGGGCGGATTGATTTTAAACTCTGTTTTCTTAAATAATCAGAGATTTGATTTAATAGCATCAGCAATACATGAAAGAAATGTAAAGCCCGTTTGCATAAAGGAATCTTACAATTATTTAAAAAAATGCTCCCACTTCCCCTTGGAGACTACTATATATTGCTCAAAAGGCTTTATTTGTACCTTTGTAGAGGGAATACCCTTTTCCCTTTTTCATTTATGTTTATCTCCTCCAGACCCACTTCACTACCCTCAATAGTTTCCCGAAACTATTTTACTTTTAGAGGAATATGAGGCTCTTCTAGACTGATTGTATTCAGAGGTTCTTTTGTTTAAATACTGCGGATCAATCTATGCATAGTACCCTGGGGAAAAGGCTTAGTTGAGTAGGGAAATGCACATTCGTGCTTCAGTAGTAGGTCCCTAGAAGCCACTAGAAACTAGAGCCCGAGGGCTAGAGTTTGATGTCCAGCCGGGCACCGGCAGTGATTTGCGTGGCAGTCTGGCACGAAGCTGTTGGAACAGGGCTTCACAAAGATCTGAAATTTCACTTGAAAACCCTGGCTTGTCTTAAGGGACTGTTAGGTACTGTTTAGAGAGTTGGGTGTTTTTTTTTTTTTTTCCTCCCTTTCTCAAAACCATCACCGATTTTGAGAAATTTGAAATTCATCTCCTCCCTTGAGTAGTTGGAAGAGTTTAAGGGCAGTCACTGTCTGCTGCAGTTTATTGAAGATATTCAGGAGTTCTTAGGCAGAATGGAAGAAGGCAGAATGCTAAGAAGAAACAGCCAGAATACAAAGGATTCTGAAGGGGGAGAGGTATCAAAATCAGTGTCAAGATGTTGGTGAGTGGAAGAATGTGATACAGAGAACCAAGGAAGGAGAAAGACAATCTGAACCCTGGGAATTACACAGCAGGTATGGTTATACACAAGATGGTCTGTTGACATGAGGAAGAAATATCAGCACTTACTCTGTTTTCTATGAAAATAAAAAAGTTAAGCTTTACTAATATTTGTACTTTACCAATATAAGATTGACACTGGTACCTTTTTTTAAAAAAGCAATAAATAGAATGGACATGATGGCCCATGTCTGCAATCCTAGCACTCTGGGAGGCTGAGGTGGGAGATCGCTTGAGGTCAGGAGTTCCGGACAAGCCTGAGCAAGAATGAGACCGCGTCTCTACTAAAAATAGAAAAACTTAGCTGGGCAACTAAAAATAGAAACAAAAAATTAGCCAGGCATGGTGGTGGGCACCTGTAGTCTCAGCTACTCAGGAGGCTGAGGCAGGAGGATCGCTTGAGCCCAGGAGTTTGAGGCTGCCATGAGCTAGGCTGACATCACGGCACTCACTTTAGCCCAGGCAACAGAGTGAGACTCTGTTGCAAAAAAAATAAAAAAGCAATAAATATACTTTTGTTAAGGATATATAATCAATTTTTGAAATTATTTCTTTGTATGTGACCAAAATGTTTGGTGATTGCTGCTCTGAGGAACAAAAGAAAGACTTTGAGGTGCTGGCGGGTCCTATGACATCTGTCCCTGCTCTTATGGGTAGAGACAGCTCAGTGACTGGGTGACCCTCTGCTGTGGGGACAGAGTTGGCACTGTGCTCTGCTGTTGCTAATCTAGAAGCATGGTGCATTCTGAAGAATATGTATTGAGAAAGTGAGTTTATTGAGATTTACCAAACACTGTACCTACCATTTTCTGGCTTATTTATATGTAAATAAATGATACTTCCAGAAGAAACATGAAAGCATAGAGATGATGAAAATTCCTGGGTAAGAAACTTGAAGGACTTGGGGGCAAAGGACATGTTTGCCCATGTGAGTGAAAGAGAACCGGCAATGGGGTGGGAACAGCCTGCCCTGCCATTTCTGTGACAGGACAGGAGTCTTCTAGATCAGCATTGACTTGGCAGCGATTAATGCATTTCATTCAGGGGGAAAAAAAGAAAGGGGGTTGGAAGCAGCTCTCTGTCTTCCGAATTCTATGTGTGTCCAATGCCAAGAATGGGAGTAATAAAACGAGCTTGAGATTTTAACACAGTCATCACAGAGACCTGTCAGGCACAAGGTATCTGTCCTCTCTCACACTGTGTACATCCAACTGTGATCTATTATATATCTCATCCCCATCGTTACCAACTTATTTCAGCTCCTCTCTATGCTATCACGAATGTCTCTGCTAATACAAATAGTAAATTTACTATGTTAAGTATTAGTAAAGCTTTCAAAGTCTTCATCGAGTCCTGTCTGTAGATCCAGCCCGTTGGCACGATTCGGTCAGCCCAAATTTGAACGCCTTCGGTAGAGCTCATACAATCCAGTTTGCTGCAGCTTCCCTAATTTCACATCACATGTGTACGTTTTCCGCCTGTCCCCGAAAGCTTTTGAATTTCCCTACCACGCGTTGAGGTCCAGGTAGATCCAAGTCACAGCACAGAAAGGCCTGCGTGACTGGCTCCCGTGGTAGTAGCCTCACAATGGACTGCAGTTCTCTCAGCTCTCTGTGCTTTTCAAAAAGATAAAAAGTAGTAGGTGTATTTTGCTCACATGATGACCTCTGCTTTCCCTTTCCGTCTGCTTGTCTTTCAAGTTAGCTCCCGTGTCGTGTCCCCGCTGGAGTGTCTCCCTGAGACCTTAAGAGAGGAGAGATTTCTTCCTCTTCCGTGTGCATTCTGCACCGCGCACTGTCTTTATCGCAGTATTCACAACACTTTACTGATATTACGTAGAGATTCCTGGAACCTAGCCCCTTGCCTGCCGTTGCATAGGTGGTCAATAAATGTTTTTGAACGAGTAAATGTAGTTTTCAAAATTTCTCAAATCTCTGTGCTTTTGAGCTTTAATGTAGTTGGAATCAAATTAATCTTTCTTATTAGAATATGTTGTGTTTACTCAAACCATTCATTTTTGGTTTAGATACTGAATTCATTTATTATTGCCACCTTCTTTTTAAAAATTTTTTTTAATTATGAAAGTCGATTGTACAATGTTTGAAACATTTAAAACTAAATGCAGATAAAGATCATCTATTATTTTGTCACCTAGATTCAATTATCACTGTTAGCAGTTTGGTATATGCTTTTGGCATATGATGCATGTGTCTTAATTTTTAAGCAAAGTTAGATGAATCATATTCTATTATAACTTTTTGGAAGATTTTCCTCTTAATATATCATGTGAATATTCCCCTGGTCTTTAATAGCTTTCCTCAGTGTGACTTTTGTGATGTTTTTAAAGACTGTACTATGATATGGAAACATTTTTATGGCACAATAACAGATGAAAAGAATTATAATTTAATGTGCATATTCCCCTGGTCTTTAATAGCTTTCCTCAGTGTGACTTTTGTAATGTTTTTGAAGACTGTACTATGATATGGAAACATTTTTATGGC